GGGATAGTTCTATATATCACTTAATTATAAAACTGTTAATTATATAATCACATTATGACTAAATTTTGATCCCTGAATCTTTGGTAATACCAATGTTCACTTTGTCTGGTTTTGTTGCAGCATGCCCCATATATAAAAACTCGTACTTCATTAATATATTTTTTGATTTTATTTATATTTTTTATTAATAATCAATGTATTTTAAAACAGTAACTTCTTGGGAAATGTTAGGCACAAATTTATCTGTAAAAAAAGCTGATGGTGAATGGTCATCAGAATCAGAACGGTTATTGTTGATGGACCGTAAAGATTTTAATCAATTAGGCATAGGAGTTGATGATTTGATAGATGCTTATGTACAGACTTGTTTAGCAGTTATTGCAATTGATAAAATGTGTCAAAAGTTGATGCCAGAAGAAGGAAAATTTGATTTTAATTTATTCAGAGCTTTAAATCCTGATGAAACTTTGTTATCAGAAATATTAGAGTAAACACTTTATAGGAGCAAAGTAAGGATAAATTTTCTAATACACAAATATAAATAATCGTATTTATATATACTTATATATATATATTCAATTATTTCTTTTACAACTGCCTGTTTATTATTTTGGGATTGTACGTTAGCTTTAATAATTATTTTTTTTTTAATATCATGTTTCAATAACAATAGAAATGATGGAATTTCTTATTTACATAATAATATTCAATAAACTTTGTAATCGCACAGTTTTTAATTTGCTATCCATCAGTTGTCAATATCCATAAACTTTTATTAGGAACAAGACAAACTAAATAGTAACCTTCATTCCATTAAAGAATATTTTTTTCTATTAAATTATCAGTAATACCATGTGCAGATTATTATTTAAACTTTTGCCATCCAACAGTCACCAATACCCATAAAGTTTTATCAGAAGCAAAGTCTTTAGTATAACAGTTTCTTATTAACTGAGAGATCAAATTTTTAATATTACAATTTTATGAGAAATCGCAAAGCAATGTTTACTTTCTATAACTTAAACCAATTAATTTAAATATTCATGTTTACTTGAGACAAATACATATATATATAGTAACTTTTTACTATCTGTTTATATTAAAGAATTTTTAGGTAGATGCATCTTTATCGGTTGGAAAAATTTTATTTGTGTATTATTATTAATAATAAATGATTGATAATAAAGTACGAGTTTTTATATATGGGGCATGCTGCAACAAAACCAGACAAAGTGAACATTGGTATTACCAAA